GAGAAAATAACTTAATTAAAGCTTTAAATCAAGTGCCAACCGATCGAGTAATTCGTCGTAGAGTTAAAGACGGCCGAGGCGCTTGGAGTCATGTGATTATGCCGTAAATCTTTGTCTTACAATGCTCCTGTTGCAAATCACAGAGTTTCTCTCTCGAGGGCCTGAGTGTTTATGTGGATACCAGCAAATTAATTACTCCTTGTACCGTGAAAGGAAGCAATAAATTCGAAAACAATGAACTTTCAGTAAAGTACAGTTGTACCGAAAAGTCTGTCTTTTGTGAACTTTGTCCAAAATTTCTCTATTTCGTTTTTCTTAATTTTTGTACTTGTTGCCTTGTTAACCTTGCAATTGATCCAAGATAACGAAAAAGATGATTGTTAAATATTTCGTATATGAAGAAAAAAATTCTCTAGACCAGTGAACCATATTATCTCAGTAAATGTTTCTGTGGGCGAAGGCGTCTAAAACATGAGACGGTTTTTAAACCACGCAATATACTTTAAAAAGTATATTGCATTCGGTTATACATGCCCTCCCAGAGGGTGGCGCAGGTTGGGTACCAATCACGCATCACGCTGAATTTTTCTATAAAATCACGCATCACGGAGAATTTTTTTCACTAATCACGCGTCACATAAAAAGATGTAAGTAGATCGCCAATTTTACTTCTCCACCCTAAAAGCGTCGTTAAAAGAACTTTGCCGATTCAACCACAAAAATGCATCGGCAAATATGTGACCTCTCACGCGAAAACGTTCCTTACGGTATCCGCTCGAAGGGCTGAGTGCACGGCAAATGAACTAGCCTGCGAACAGGCTCTCAGCGAAAGCGGAAAAAAAAATCCAGCGGGGACGGAAAAAAATCCGGCGAGAGAAGTGAGCCAATAAGGGCGAAAAAAAAAGAATTTCGCGAATTGCGCTTCCCCTCGTCACCATTCTGCTCTCGGCTCTATAAGCTCGCACTAAACCCATAACCCCAACCGGGAGCCTGTTCTCAGGCTTCAAGTGAACGGATAATTTGAATAGCGATAGTCAATTTACTTGTTCCTAGATATCTTAAGACCACTTGGTTCTACATGAGTTGATAACCACTGAATATAACGAGAAATGACTCTAGCAACGATTTAACGAAATGCAAACTGTGAAGGTAAATGTTAGAGATTCATGAGATGTGCACTGTGTAGGTGTGTGTTGGGAATTAATACGATAAAAGCTGTGTACATATATGTGGGGATAAATGAGATGTAGGCTGTGCAGGTATATATAGGGGATTAATGAAATGTATTGCTGTCTGGGTATATGTTGGGAATTAATACGATGAAAGCTGTGTAGGTATATGTGGGGGATTAATGAGATGTAAGCTGTGTAGGTATATGTGGGGGAATCAATGAAATGTAGGCTGTGTAGATATATTTGGGGGGATTGATGAGAAGTAGGCTGAGTGGGTATATTTAGGGGATTAATGAGATGTATGCTGTGTAGGTATATGTTGGGGTTTAATGAGATGTAGGCTGTGTAGGTATATGTGG